AAGACACAAAATTCTGGGGTGGCCTACGTGACACTTCTCAGCTCTAAGTAGGAAACCAGCAGGAGTGAAAATAACAACAAAAACATCCCACAGGACTAGGGGTCTGGGGAAGTACAGCCCACTTCAGAGCAGTGCAGCGTGGAACTTTCTGTTTTCTACCCAGGCTCCGCCTTTACACTGTGGGTCTGAAATTTCGGTCCCTGGCTTACTCTTTTGCAGCTGCCTACTTTCTGCAGGAGGATGGCGCTCTGGTCTCCATGTTCCCTCCTCCTCCAGGGACTCCATAGTATTTTTTTCACGCTTCGTCGCTACTACAGCAGACGCCTGCCTTCTCATTATTTGCTGTCCAGATCTCGGGTGCCTTGACTGTAAACAGAACACTTTAGATCACAGCGAGGTCGATGTAAGCACAGCCTTTCTGCTGGCAGCCGGACTTCTTAAGGTGGCGTGACCGTGACTCGTTCACTTTTCAAGTGAACAAAGCAACAAAATGGTGCTCCTACATATTGGTTAAGAGAGTCAGTATGTGTAGGGGATAGATATATTAATTTTCTCCTTTCATATAAGATATTAATTCCATGAATAAAATCAAATATCTGTGGCAAGGTGAAATACTCTGGAATTTCTCCATTTACATGTATTATATATGCACATGTATAATAGAGTTCCTGTGTAGTCTAGCAATTATTTTAAAGTTTCGGCAATCATGTCATTCCAGGGGTAGGGTATATGTTATGGTACTGAGGTCTACCCTAATTGCCCTCTGCCTTCTCCTTCAGCCCCCAGTTCAACATATTAAGTGGAGCATTAAATGTAGAAAAAATAGAGGATAAGACACCCCGTTTTGATCCGGATGGACTCTTTTCTGTCAGTTAGGTGGGAAGTCCTGACTTTGAAACTAGTTCGGGGATCTGCTTCCTTCATGGCTCTCTGGGTATCGCCCCTGTCCTTCTAGAATCTGTACTGTAGTTGAATTAGTGGGTAGTGATAAGAAAGGCCAGTGACAGCTGCATTTGAATATCAGTGGCCACAGGCCACTCCAAGGAAACACCTGCAGTCAGCCCAGGGCCTGGGAAGGAGCCATTTTGAATCACTTGCAGGAGAAGACCTGCAGACGACAGCACAATGAAAGCCAGACAAATACCTGAACGAGTTGGGCCCACCGGGAAGGAACGGAACAGAAAACGAAACCAGCCTGAGAGTTAGGAGACCTACATCTAATCCTGCTCTGCTCCCAACTGCACGGAAACCTCTCTGAGTCTCAGTTTCCTCAGTGGTAATAAAAAGAGAGGGTTAAACCACAGGGTCTTGAAGGTCCCTCCCAGCTGTAACGTTCTGGAGTGTATGAGGGTGAGTAGACACACAAAGTGGACAAACAAGGTGTGGCTAAGAAAACAAGTTAAAAATCAACCTCATCTATAGCATAGATGCATAAGAAAACATTGCT